ATCCAGGCATACTTTCAATCCTGCAGAATCACCGCAATCTCTATCCAATCCCTTTTTTCTTTTGTGTTTTGTAAAGATATTATTGGAGTTGGGAGTCACTCAGATAATGCACAATAAATCACTTCCTAGGTTCATTTTGTTGCTGTGATAACACCACAACCAAAGGCAACTTGGAGGAGGAAAGGGTTTATTTTGGCTCCTATGAGAAAGTGAGGGCAGGGACTTGAAGCAGGAACCATAGAGGAATGCTGCTTGGTGGCTCACAGGTTCTTGCTTAGCTTGCTTTCTTATATAGCTCAAGACTACCTGCCTAGGGAATGGTGTTGCCCACAGTGGACTGGGCCCAACCAAGACAATTTCTCACAGACATGCCCATCTGCCATTCTGTTCTAGGTAATTCACCTATTGAGACTTCTCCTCAGGCAATGCCTGTGGCTCTAGGCTGTGTCAAGTTGACAGTTAAAGCTGACTAGAACAGATTCTTAAAGCAGTTAAACTTATAAAGGCTATCTGTCCACGTAAGGTCACATTCCCAAGGCTTAGGTAGCAGGATATATCCTGTTAGAGGATGCCACTCAGCCTGGTCCATAGGCTTATTCTTCCATAGGTCAGACAAGGCAAAATTACAGAGAAAATTATTTTCAATTTTTTGAGGGAATGAATGAAAATCATTGGCCCAAGCTTAAGAAAAAGAGGTAGAAATTGTTTATCAGAAAACAAAGCTGCCCTTGTAAATACTCCCATGGCTTATGTGATGTTCAAGGCTAGAGCACATCTTCGGAGGCTTTCTTGTCCTGGACACATGCTACCTACCAAAAGCCTTCACAGGCTTGTGATTTAAAGTTAAGTCTACAAGGGCCTGGGGAGATGTTTGTAAAGTGTTTACCAAACAAGCCTGAGAGTCTGAGTTCAGTCTCCAGAATCAATGTAAAAAAGTTGAGCATAGGGCTTGACTCCCAGTGCTGGGGAAACAACAGGAGGATGGCAGTTAACCACTGACTTCAGTACCTTCAGGCACACAAAAAGTATGTACGCCCATAAATGCACACGAACATGCAAACACATAAAAAAAACACACAAACCACTAAGATCCTGCTCAGCCAGCCAAGTAAGTCTTAGTAGTGATGGGGGTGATTTTCCTGGTCATTGTTCCTAAATGCTCATCACAGTCCCATGGCCTTATGATGCCCACCTCTGCCGTGTTCTGCTTGAGAAAGCAGGGGACAAATCTCTGCTTGTGGTGCCTCAGATTCTCTGCTTCCCCGCCCCACTCCCCTGCCCCCACGCCTTATACTTATACACACCAACCAGTACCCAGAGAAACGCTCTTTTGTCTCTTTTATCTGGAAAAAGTGGTTTGATGCCCCCCCCATGTCACCTACAGGATGTGCTTGCTACCATTAATGTCATCTTAGACAAATCCACCTTGAACTCCTGGGAGAAGTTACTACAGCAACAGAGCAACCAGAGCTCTCAGTTCCTGTATTCAGTGGAAAGGTTTACCAAAGCACTACAGCTTGGAGACAACACCCCTCCATTCCTCTTCCACCCTAATGTTCAGATGAAGAGCATGGTAATAAAACATGGCCACCCCCAAATCTACCAACAGAAGTTTGTTTTCGCAGACTCTGACCTGTGGGGCGATGTCGCCATTGATGAGTGTCAGCTGGGAAACTTGCAGCCCGATTCATCTATTGTCACTGTGGCTTTCCCAACTCTAAAAGCCATCCTTGGCAAAGATGCCCAGAAAAAGATATCTTCCAACAGTTTAGTGATGACAACCACCGTCAGCCGCGGCATCATCAAGCCATTTAGGATTTCCATGACTTTTAAGAACAACCATCGTCCGGGTGGCAAGCCACAGTGTGTCTTTTGGAACTTCAGCCTTGACAACTATACTGGGGGCTGGGACAGCAGTGGGTGTACTATGGAAGATGATGGTAGGGACAATAGGGACAGGGTGTTCTGCAAATGTAACCACCTGACATCATTTTCCATCCTCATGTCCCCAGACTCCCCAGATCCAGGATCGCTCCTAAAAGTACTTCTGGATATCATTTCTTACATTGGGTTGGGTTTTTCCATCTTCAGCTTAGCAGCCTGTATAGTTGTGGAAGCCATGGTGTGGAAATCAGTGACCAAGAATCGAACTTCCTATATGCGCCACATCTGCATAGCCAACATTGCGCTTTGCCTTCTGATTGCTGACATCTGGTTCATTGTGGCTAGTGCTATCCACGACGGTCACTACCCACTCAATGAAACAGCCTGCGTGGCTGCCACCTTCTTCATCCACTTCTTCTACCTCAGTGTCTTCTTCTGGATGCTAACCCTGGGCCTCATGCTCTTCTACCGCCTGATTTTCATTCTGCACGATGCAAGCAAGTCCACCCAGAAAGCCATCGCCTTTTCCCTAGGCTACGGCTGCCCCCTCATTATCTCATCCATCACAGTGGGGGTTACCCAGCCGCAGGAAGTCTACATGAGGAAGAATGCGTGTTGGCTCAACTGGGAGGACACCAGAGCACTGCTGGCTTTTGCCATCCCGGCCTTGATTATTGTGGTGGTGAATGTGAGCATCACGGTGGTGGTCATCACCAAGATTCTGAGGCCTTCCATCGGAGACAAGCCAGGGAAGCAGGAGAAGAGCAGCCTGTTCCAGATCAGCAAGAGCATCGGGGTCCTCACGCCACTCTTGGGACTCACTTGGGGTTTCGGTCTTGCCACAGTGATCCAGGGTAGTAGTGCTGTGTTCCACATTATATTTACCCTCCTCAATGCCTTCCAGGTAAGCCATCCATCCAGGCACTAGGATCTCAGGAAATGTCTGTTCCTGTGGGATGAACTAATGATAGAAACACAAACAAGAGGAGGAATGGGGAAGGATTTGAATGTACAGGAGACCTAAGCTTCAGAAAGCATTAATTACAAGCACTCGGTGAGACAAAGGGACACAGTTTTCTGCCTCCATGGAACCTTGAACCTTTTATCACCTGTGCTATAACCTGGTTCCAAATGTTCCCCATAGTACAATTAGGAGGAGAGTCACCATTCTAAACTAGTTGATGCTGTTTACTCAAGATAATCTTGCCCTAGTCTTATCTCTTCAGTAAGAATGGCATTGTCACTAAGTCAGGTCATGGCTCCATTTAGTCTCTGCGAGCATCAGCAAGCTCTGGCTGTGTGAGAACAGGCTTCCTGTCGGTCACTGAATCTCCCTATCTAATGTCAAATAAAGACCTTGGTTAGAGGAAGGTTCTCAAAAGCCATTTGCAGGAAATGAATGCTGAATACCACATAGTTCCTCCAGAAAGATATGTTGAAGAAAGAGCACCCGTATATGCCAATCTATTTGGTAGTGTTCAGGTGAAGACATTTCTTTGCTCTCCTGTACTATATAGTCACAGTGGAGGCCAGTTTGTTAGATGAGCTGTAAGAGAAAGGTGGATGACGAGGCAACGTCTTGCTCCTGGATGCTTGTGACAAAAGATATATGAACCCCAACTCCTACCACCATGTGTTATGAGCTACAAGGTTCTTAGCTATTGGTTTTCAAGATATGCTTCCATGGAAAGAAATACCCGATCCCATATCTTCCCTAGAGGGGAAAAAAAATTAGGAGTAATGTAGATTAGAGACGTGTATTAGCATAATTCCATTCATGGTTGGAGGAAAATAAAAGTTATTCTCCTGGCATCAACCATTTCAAGCCCCTCACTGTGTAACTGTTGTATCACTTTTAATGTCATCATGTCCTGGACTTATCACATGCACTCAGATGTGGGAAGAGGTGGCACACAGTCAACACCGGCTTCACAGTTTTTTCCTGTGGACCTGAGTCGTGGTGTACCATTAAAATGCTGTCCTTATTCCTTTCCACAGGGGCTCTTCATCTTACTCTTTGGCTGCCTCTGGGATCAGAAGGTAAGAATAATGATAGCTTCATGTTTCTGGCAGGGTCTAACACACCCAAACAAAGTCTGTTGAATTGACACTGGTTTCTTTCAAACAATGTAGGTGCAGGAAGCTTTGCTGCATAAGTTTTCATTGTCAAGATGGTCTTCTCAGCACTCAAAGGTAAGCCTGGTCCTGAAGAGACTTTCTGTTGCATGCATACCCTCATGGACTCCATTAATGAGATACAAGGAACTAGACTGTTACCTTGGGGTTGTGATCAGTTGGGTAAAATAGAAACAAACCCCTCTGCTTCTGTGACTTAGTCTAGCATAGATTACCCAAGGATCATTGCTTCTTGCCACAGTCTTCTGGTTCAACGCGCCATACCATGAACATCTCTTTAAGATGTGACTCCCACAGTTTTCTATGGCATGCAATCTGAAGGTGACATATAAGCCAGAGCAGTGGTGGGTATTTGTACTCTCAGCACTCAGTAGGATCTCCAAGAGTTGGAGACCAGCCAGGGCTACTTAGCAAGTAATACCAGGGCAGCTAGGTCTGCATAGTGAGACCCTGTCTCAAAACCCCAAACCAACAGCAACATTATAGAGCCCTTTAGATGAAAATCAAATTCTCAGTGAGAAGTTTCTGGGTAGAATTCAAGGAATTAGGGGAAAAAAAAACCAACATAAGAAATAATACAGAAATAATAAAATAAATTTACTATAGTTCATCTTCTAGAATATAACTGTTGTCCTTGAATATGATTGGCTCTTTTATCTTTTTATTTATATGCCAAATTTTAAATGCCAAGGTATACTAGAAAAAACCAACAGTAAAGTTAAAGTAAAAGAAAAAAAAAGTCTACAAAACAGCAAGAGGTGCATTTAAGCAAGGATACAACTTAGCTTATGATTAGTGTGTAAAGAGAGCTAAACTGGCTCCTTAGCCAAGAAAAATAAAACAGAAAGGGAATTGGGGGGAGAGGAAAAGATGAATGCAAAGAAAGGGGAAGGAAGGGAAGAAGGCAGAAAGACGTGAGGAACAGGCAAAGAGGAGAGACGGGGAAGGGAGGGAGGGAGGGAGGGGGAAGGTGAGAGGGAGGGAGGGAGGGAGGGAGGGAGGGGAAAGGATGGAGGGTGAAGGGGAGGAGGGAAGGAGAACATAACTCATATATATTTGCAAACTATTTATTCAGCTCAGAGCGCACCACTCGACCTAAGGGATAGGCTTAGAGACATAGGAAAGTGACTAAAGTGGAGCTCAATGTATGCAGATTGCAGTGGAGTGGCAACTAGTTTGAAAACAGATAGTTTATTAGGAAGTACTCACGGAGCCAGTCCTGTACAGCCAGGCGGGAGCAGGGAAAAAAGGGCCACATGCATGGGTCTCTGATATTTAAAGCCTTGCTATGTCACTCTGTCCATGCCCCCATGGACAGTGTCACCTGTGCCAGACCCCAAGCAGGCGTGGTCAGCATGTCCCCCTACAAGTGACCGCTAGAAGGCATCTAGCCAACCCCGCCCCCAACCCAGAGTCCAAATAGTCCTGTTCTCCTGGACTTGCTTTGTGACTGTCTTTTTCCTTCTCTCTTCTAGTCAACATCCCTAGGCTCATCTACACCCGTGTTTTCTATGAGCTCTCCAATATCCAGAAGATTTAATAATCTTTTTGGTAAAACAGGTATGTAGTGACTACTAGGTACTCCCAGGTGGACCAGATCAGACTGGCCCTGAACTATCACCCCTACTTCCACCCCCCCCCAGTTCATGGAAGGAACTGAACAACTCTGTTTAGGTTAGAGACTGAATCCAGGAATTTGCTCATATGTTCACAAGCCACCAGGCAGCTACTCTAAGTGGGCAACTAATGTAAACTCATGAAGATTTTTGGAGTCTTGACAAGCCTCAGAGATCTGTCTATCAAATATAAATAGTATCTGCAAGTTCTTGGCTTGTCCAACACAGATTTCTTTTTATCTTGTTAATAGTAGAGACATCAATTTTCTGTGTTACTCAAAGAATAAATGTGGAAATTTTGATTATAGGAGTCACTTCAGTATTGTTCCTCCCACTTATAGAGCATGGTTTTTGTTTTTGTTTTTCTATACATTGACATTTACAAACTGGGTATGCTTACATGATGCATTGTCCAAGTTATTCTATTGGATAATCATAAGTTCTACCTGGAAAATAGAAAATAAATAGTGTTAATGAATTCAGAATGGTCTCAGCTTATCAGAATGTGAATCCAGTCCCAAACCCTGCCTCCCACAGCACAGTCCTAGCACATTGCCCTGACAGGACAGTCCCAGCACATTGCCCTAGCAGGACAGTCCCAGCACACTTCTGCCCCATAGGACAGTCCCAGCACACCACTCCATGGAGCAGTCTGTTACACTGCCCCTCATAGATCATTCCCATCACACTGTCCCTCCCACAAACAAATGGCCACCCAAGTTTTCCTTTTCTATTTTTGTTTTTCTCCATGATAGGGACCAAATCCAGGTTCTCAAGTATGCTAAGCAAGCACTCTACCACTGGGCCACCTCCCAGCCCCATGTCCATCTCTTCAAAGCCAGATAGATCTCACAAATGCAAACTTAAGACTGTTGACTTCCAGACCCTGGCTATCACACATTTGCTGTCAAATATATCTGAACATGAAGGTTCTGAGAAGTCTATGGAGACCAAACCTCCACTGGATATAGTGGCAAATTGGGGAATCACTCCATTCCCCAATGGGACTACACCATTGTCACGTTTCACTTTGAATGTCACTAACCTGGCCTTGCATGAAATGACCAAGTCTCCGGAATACTAGAATGACTGGACTTCATGCACATTTAGCATTTCCAATGAAGTCAGCAGAAATTGTTAACTAATCCACTGAATCTGAACTTGGCAAGATATGAGGCCAATAGAATACACTCTATTTGTGAACAATCCGGGTCTAAGTTGGGAGGTGGGCTTTGTTCCTGGGGTGTCAGGGCCTGAGATTCTTGGTGATTCTTGGTCAATGCTGTTGGACACTCTTGCATGGGTCATCAGTACAGCCCTGCTCTGGATAAGGTATTTTTGTGGGGGGAGGGCTAATTACTGTAACTTTGGTTTATGTTGTCAGCAACCCCAAAGGTCCCCCCAAGCAATGATGGAAACCCTGTTAGCAGTGGCAGTTCATCATCCTGATGGTAGGGTAGTCACTTCGACCCTTCCCTCTCCCAGCATTTGTGCTGTATCTTCTTCGCGCACAGTGCCTGCCGTCTGCCCACATAAAGCTGAGCAGTCCCACCAGCTGTCCTTCCCGCTGTGCTGGTCCTTGGTACTTCTGTTGGTATCTGTCGCTCATCCCCACCCTGCCTCTTTCTCCCTTTAGTCGTTCTTCTCTTTCCTTGTCCTCCCTTCATGGACCTTCTGCTCAATGGTTAGCTCCTCCTGCAGACTTCCCCAAGTCAAGATAAACAAGGGGACCAGGAAGGGTTCCTCGTGCAGAATTTCCCAGGTCCATGCATGTAGACGCTTAGGGAGAGGCTGCCCACGGCGATGTCTCCCTGTCCTGTGTGGAAATCTGGCTGCCGGTGTGTTGTGGAGTAGTTAGTGCTTGGTGGCTGCCATGCATGCTTGAGGACTTCTGTCGTTTGTTCTCTGGCACGCTGGGTTAGGGAGGAGGGCAGGCCTGGGTTGGTTCCCAGGCATGGCTGCTGGACCAGAGCTCATCTAAGTTCCTTAGAAGATTTTGCACCCCAATGTGCATGAAACCTTGTCTCGGAGGCTGAAATTGCTGCTTTGGCTTTTTTTTTTTTGCAGGAACGTATAACGTTTCCACCCCAGAAACAACCAGTTCATCCGTGGAAAATTCATCTAGTGCTTACTCGCTGCTCAACTAGGACCAGACAAAGCCAAATCTGCAGGACCTCTCAGAAACAGGGCATGTGCAGAGAAAAAGGGACCCATCCACTTCTATGGGTAAAGTGTTCTGTTTGCAGACTGCTGGGAGCAGATGCTGAAGAGACTTGGTATCGAGGATGCTTTCTTCTGTAAAGACAGACTAAAAGAAATTGCCATGTTTATTTTTGTCCTCCCCATCCCTCGTGTAATGCCAAATATGTATAGTATTTAAAAGAAACTCCCTCAAGACCCAACTTTTCTCTATGTATTGTAAAATAGAATTTTGAAGAGTTTTTCATCCCCACCAATGCCCCCACCATTGGCTATAAAGAAAAGTATTGTAAGTAAGAAGCTAGTACTCGGGAGTTCAGTGAATTCAAGGAAGAAAGAAAGAGTGGAAGGAAGGAAGGAAGGAAGGAAGGAAGGAAGGAAGGGAAGAAGGAAGGAAGGAAGGCAGGAAGGGAGGGAAGGAGGGAGGGAAGAAGGACGCAAGGAAGGAAGGGAGAATAATGTAGAAAACATTAGGGAGCACATTTGGAGGTTCCCACTGAAAATGAAAAGGTATAGCACAAAAGTGGACAATGAATGAAGTCAGAGGGGACAAGCTTAGCACATTACTGATACTTCCGAGTAAAGGGAAAGAATCCAAGACAGAGGAGACATGGGAAGGGAATCATGGCATGAGGATGCCTCTGGCTGGATGGCAGTATTTACAAGTAATGCACCCAAGGAGACACATGTCCTCATGACAAGGACATGCATATGAACCTTTGCATGCCAGGGCCTGAGCAAAGCAGGATGAGAACACAGAGGAAACGGGACAGCAATGCTGTCAGATTCAAATAAGGATTCATATCTCATGGTGTGTCAGAAAAGCACTGTGTGTTAGTTTGTTCAACCTTCAAACGCTATGCATGTGTATGTATATATTATACCCAGTTATTGACAAGTTTGATCTATTGCACTGAACACAATGTCTTACATGTAACAGCTTTAACCAGGTACTTTCTGTGCATTATAGAATAGATTTTAATGATTGTGTAGCATGTACATTTTTCTTATTGCCATTGTGATGTCATCGTGACAGTGGAGATGATGGCCCTAGATGTGCTTGTACAGCTTGCTGTTGCTGTCTGTTCCCGGTCTTGTAACTTCCCAGGCCAATATACCTTCAGAGTGTCTATGGTCTGATCTGTGTTCATTACAGCCACTTGGAAGGCTCCTGGAGACAAAAGTATACACTAGGTTCTTCTGCACCCCAGCCACACTTGACTTTGATAAGCAAATGGCAGAGTTCCTCCCAAGGATTAGATTGTTCATGAATTTATACCTGTGTGGTTTTTATACATGTGTCTCTCAAAAATACAGATATTTATTAAAACTACATCTATGTTAGAGCTCACCATGTTTAGTATCCAAGAACAATCATACAGTTCATATCCAAGAGTAATCTCAAAGGAACAGTGGCGGTAAGGACAGCAGCTTAGTTCATTTCTCATTGCACTAAGACCACACTGTGTTGAAAGCAACTCAAGGGAGACAAGGTTTGTTTGGCCTTATACTTCAGAATGCAGTCCATTGTGGTAGGGAAAGCATGGCTGTGGAGCACGACGCCAACCCATCACACTGCCTCAGCAGTCTGGAAATAAAGAACAGGAAGTGGGACAAGGCTATGAACACTCAGAGCCCTCCCCTAGTGTCGCACTTCCTCTTGCCAGGCTCTACCTCCTAAAGGTTCCACAATCTTCCCAAATAGTACCAACAATGGGGTGGGAAGCAGGGCAAGGGTTCAAATACAGGAGCCTATAGAGGACATTTCTCATTCAACAACCTACAGCAGGCTCTTCTGGTGGATGGACAGCATTGAGTTTTTAGGAGTCAAGAGCCTCTGAATGCCCTTCATTGGGAAGACAGGAGAGATGGGTCTGAACCCTAACCGTCACTCATTGACTTAGAGCCTGAAAGTTTTATCTTTAATATTTTTAAGCACTTTAAAAGCTCTTCCTTTTAGTTCTAAGCTTCAATTCTACTTCGCTGTTCTTCATAGGGGAAGAGAGGGGTGGGAAGGCAAGGTCCCATCCACTGTGTTCATTTCTACACGAGTCCCAACTTAGTGGCTGTTATTTAAAGTCCATACAAGAAACAAATGTTGGCACGCACATGTGGATGAGTTCTCCAGGGAGTCTCCAAAGCAGGGCAGAGTTCAGCAGAGAGAGAAGAGCTGAGTCGAAGATGAGGCACCCTTTGGGTTAGAGAAGAAATGACTGGGGCTGATTCAGCTCCCTGACTTAGGTTAAGGAGCACTGAGCCAGGAGTGTTGCACAGCATGGCAGGGCAGCCTTGACATCAGGGAGGGAGGCACAGTACCAGGGGAGGCCAAGGTCCAATGAACACTGAACTTTAGCCCATTTCATTGTGCCCCTTGGGAGCCATTGAGCTTGACCTTGTGAAGAGAACCTCCATAACGGCATAATAGCAGGAACTTGTAGCCAAATTCCATAGGATATGGATCTGGCCGTCTGCCTGCCTTCATTGACACGTCCCTCTGTCGACCGCCAGTGTGAATGCCCGCAAACTCTAATGCACACACAAATTCATATCCAGACCCCCCAAAGCGACAGAGGCATACAGGAACGTGTGTGCACAGACATGCACACACACACATATACACACCCAGGCGCCTATGAACACACATGTACACTCAAATCCACAGGCATACATGTACAAGATGTTTTCCTGAGAACTGCCACACTGCCCCAAATGAATCACTCGTTATTTAAAATTCCCTCAAGGAAGTTTGTTAATTTGTAAATGCAAGATTCAGCAGGGGGCCATTCGTCCTGGGACAGACATGTACACATTCATACCAACATGATTAACACACACAGAGGCCCTCAGTCTTTCAAGGCACAGCATTGGATTCCAGAAAAGGCGGCTGGAGATATGGCTCAGTGATTAAGAATGTATGCTGCTTTTACACAGGAATCCCAAGTCCAGTTCCTAGCATCCATGGTGGGCAGCTCATCACCACCTGTAATTGCAGCTGAGGGGAATCTGTTGCCTTCTTCTTGACTTCAAGGGGACTTACACATGCATATCCCCCAGAAAATCTCTATGACAAAATTTGGAAGGAGTACTTTGTAGGTTTTCTGCTCACAGTTCCACACTGGCCTTTATTATAAAGTAAATGTAGTATCCAAAATTGCAAAAGATGGAAGCACACAGGCCTGTGAATTGTGTGAAAGCCAGAGCCTGCTCCCAGTTCTGCAGCAGCAAGAACTGTGACAGAGAGTGTTCAGTGACTTAGGTGCCAAGTGAAGCCTGTTCACTTTGCTAAGAGAGTGCTCCCTGCTGGCCACATTCTCCATGCCTTTTACTGTGTAAAGTAAATTCCATGGGCTGCAACTTTCTTTCCTTAATGGACTTTCCATCAAGACAGTTTCTTGCAAGAAGATCTATGCTAATGTTTTGGGGGTTGTGAAGTTGAAGGATCCAAAACCACACCATCAATACACAGCGATGTTCTCAGGGACTCCTCTAAGTGTCATCCAGCATCTCCCAGGGTGCCGGTCACTAAAGGAGGAAATGAAGAAATGCATGGGAAGCCAGAGGCTTTTGTGATCTGTGCAGAGCCCTCCAGAGAGGTCTGTGTCAGAAGAAAATGGACACAGAGATAAGAAAGAATACAGCAGCCAGTCAGTGTGGAGGGAGACACGGGGGAGTTAATCCCAGGTGAGTGGAGCAGTAAGTCGCAGCCAGTTAGGAAGACAGAAGAAAATTACATGAGCTGTTTATGCAGGGATTAAGTGTTTTATCTGTGGCATGCAGAGGTGCCATGATAAGGGGCGCTTGCACCCCAAAGAGAAAGCCAGTGACCCAGGCCACTAGAAGCCTGGCTCCGGGAGCATCCACAAGGGAGGCGCCTAGAGCAGACATCTATTTCTTGCTTATTTTTAAAGACAACAGAAATGGCATTTCTATTGCAATCAGATACCATGGGTGTCTCGAATTTTAACTCAGAGTTTAAATCACGTCCTACTAATATGTCAGTGATGCTTTCCTTCCTGGTAATAAAATAGCTAATGATTTACTGAACTCTCTTTGAATAAATTGTCTAATTGTCCGTCATGTGCTGCTGCTGCTGTTTCAGGTTTCCTCGTATCAGCAGGAACCCAATCCCACTCCCCAAACACCCAGTGAGACCTTCCATTTCCAGACAGGGAGGACACCAGAGGCTCACAGCTGAGCTCAGGCAGGGTGGGCAGCTTTTGTCACATTTTTCACACTCCCAGGAGCATAGTGATATATGCCAGTGCCATACCAGGAGTTTAAAAACAGGGTCCTTGAGCCAATAAATAAATAAACAAACAAACAAATAAATAAATAAATAATATCAAAACAAACAAACAAAACCAGGGTCCTTGAAGCAAAGCCATCAGAACCTAAATAAATATCCAGAAAACAAATCTACTCATGTCTGTTCCAGCATATGTGATTCAGTTGGCTGAAGCTAAATCCCTCATGCCCTATAAATACCTTCTAGCACATTCTAGAAGGAGCTGAAGTTGGTAAGGCTCCCTCTCCCTGTGCCTCTAGAGTGGGCAAAGGCCACAAGAAGAGGGCAGAAGGGCCCAAAGGCTGAAGTCAACTCGGAGCAAACACCTACTTATTTCCAAAGGCCGTTGCAGGTATTGCGGTGGCCACGAAGGGGCGCAGTTGTAAGGCTCTTTCCTCATAGCCAAAATCCTATTTACAGAGCCAATGGCAAAGCTAAAAACAGAAGTGACACAGTCCACCCTTCCAGACAGGCTGCTGGAAGGGATTTGAGGAAGCCAGACATTTTATTGACTCCTATTGCCACCCTCGGTAAACTGAGAAGGAAGGCAGGTCCCCCTGCGCAAATGGGATCGGGCAGGAGCTACGGGAACCTGCTCCCATCCCAGGGCTTTTATTCTTTAACTCAGAGCCAAGTGAAGTATGCTAGCAGCCATTACAGAATAAACATAACCTCCCCAGGAATCTAGTGGGAGTGTGGGCTAATTCTCAGCATGAAAGGCAACAGGAACCGGTTGGGCAAGGCCTGCGGAGATTGCTGTCTCAGGCCACTTCCTACAGCACCGGACAACAGAATCCAAGAATGTCTTCACGCTTGGCCTCTTTGGGAGCGATTTTGATGAGTGCCATGTTCTGTCCCCATCAACACCCACCTCCTGTCCCCGTAGCTGTGGAAAGAAGTATTTGATTTTGATTAACTGAGGAAAATGGTTACATCCATTTGCTGAGTTTTTGTTTTTGTTTTTTTGTTTTTCTGGAACCATGAGTGTTTTTTCATGCCCCGGGAGCTGTTTCACAGCTGTTTGAATCAGTGGCCTCGCGGGCATCTCCAGCTGGGCTAATGAGTGACAGCTGGCCTCAATTGCCAGGTCTCCAGCGCATCCTGTTTGCATCTCCTGAAGTTTGACCGCCACCTGGTGGACATTAGAGGATGTGCCTCCTTTGTGTTTTTCAAAGCATCAGGGTGGAGGCCCAGGTCGGTCCCAGGTAGACAACCCACAGTGAACATAACTTGAGTCACCTTAACAGGATGAAAACCCAGGCTGCAGACGTGCGGAATGAAGGAATCACTCTTCCTCCCGCTTCTTTTCACTGTGACACGATCTTGGCAGGAACGAGTCAGGAAACACACAGAAGTGTGGACACACACAGTTGAATTTGCAGGTGGGAGGACTTACACACACACACACACACACACACACACACACACACACGATGAGGAATAGCTCCCTTCTGCGCCTTTTATTTCCTTCTTCATTAACAAAAGCTAATTTATGTAACCAACCAAAACTAAAGGTGCCCGGGAAGTGGTGACCCACTCTGCCCCATCCCCTTACCTGAGCGCGTGCAGTCCCCCGGCCTTCCCCCTGCCTTTCCAAACAGGTTCCTGGAAGGTATTTAGGGAAGCAGAATGGGATGTTCCCCTGTTTCATGAGAATAAACTTCCTCCACGAGTGAGGCTGTGCAACAATTGATTTGAATTCTCCTTTTCCATTTTCAAACTCTCCTATTGAAGACCTGCATTCAGCCGCCAGGAAGAGTATACTTTATGTCATTTGGTGTGAGGAGCCGCACTCACATTCGCCATTACAAGATGGCGCTGACATCCGCTGCCCGATCAAGTAAACAACGTTGGTATGCATGTGCTCAGTGTTTTTCCACTGCCTAGCCTCGCCTATTCCATGGCGTCATATAGTCATATAGGGTGACGAGTCATCCACCTATCCCAGCTGTACATGCATCGCTCAGAGTTTGTGAGCCTTTATTAGGGGACAGGATTCTTGGCTCGGGGTCTCCGCTCTGTAAGCTCCGACCTTTTGATCTCTGCAGCCTGCTGGCCCTCACTCCCCGCCCCACGCAAGGCCGGCCGGATCGCTCCGTCCCAAGGCCAGCCATCTGGACCGGCAGGAGATAAGGCCATTTCGCCTGGCTATTAAACCTTAAGAAAATGCTGATTTGATGCTTTTCGCTTCTGTACTATGCCTGTTTTCCCTTATAAAAAGGACCCTCCTTCCGGGGCTCTGGGCTTGGCAAAACAGAAGCTAAGCCCCGGATATCCGTGTTATTAATAAATCCTCTTGTTCTTACATCCAAAGTTCGTGGTTTCGCTGATTCCTGGGTGTGGGTCTTCTTCCACGAAAGTACCTCTGCGGGGGTCTTTCAAGCTTATGCTCTCTCTCTCTCAAGATGCATTAAAGCTTTACTGCAGAAGGATCTGAGTGTCCTGTGTCGTTCTTGCCGGCAAGACGATCACGCAGGACAATTTGGGGCGGAAACGGGTGGAAGTAGGGATGGTTGTGTTATGAAAGGTAAGCTTGACCCAGGACAAGGCACACATCTCCTAGATTTAACACGAACACACACACACACACACACACACACACACACACACACACACACACACACACACGCGCGCGCGCGCAAATAGAATGGAGGCTGTTTGGGAAGAGGAAGGGAGAAGCAGGGAACAGAGTGCATGGGGGGAGAAGAGGGTAACGGGGTGACCATGGTCAAACTGCATGATTAGCTTGACTAAATGTCATTTTTGGGACTAGGCTGTGGTTCAACAGTTAAGAGTGCAGGTTGTATGATAATGCTCTTGTACACTGTAAAGATTTGTTACTGGTATTGGTTTAATAAAATGCTGACTGGCCAGTTGATGGGGGAAGTGAGTCTGTCTATGTGTTTGTCCTATTGGATGATAAATAAAGTACTGTTTGGCTAATGAGGCAGCAAGTTAGACGGGACTAGGAGTCAAGGAGGATTCTGGGAAATGTAGTAAAGAAGTGGTGATCCAGGAAGGAAGTGACATAGCAAGAAGACTCATACTTAGGCAAGGACAAGCAGGAAGTGGTTCCTTTCCCCTTCACTCCTTCCTCCTGCTCTCTGTTCTGAGCCACCATGTGATCCTGGGATGAGGACACCAACGGAAGGCATCCGATAAGATAAGTCTTATAAAATATATAGATTTATGATCATTAAGACTGAGCTAGCAGATGAGAAATCCTAGTCATTGGCCAAGCAGTATTTGTATCTAACATAAGTCTCTGTGTATTATTTTGCCCACCCACGTGGCGGGCAGAACTCAAGCAGGTGGCAGAAAGATTTATTGTAAGAGCCAGTAGTCAGGCAGGAAGTTTAGGTGGGGCTACTAGACTAGGAGAATTCTAGGAAGAGAAAAGGCGGAGAGTGAGTTGTCAGCCAGATGCAGAAGAAGCAAGATGAGAATGCCTTACTGAGAAAATGTACCAAGCCACATGGCTAAACATAGGTAAGTATTATGGGTTAATTTATGTTGTAAGAGTTTGTTAGTAATAAGCCTGAGCAATAGGCCAAACAGTTTTTAATTAATATAAGCCTCTGTGTGTTTATTTGGGGCTGCAGGGCTGGGCAGGACAGAAACTTCTGTCGACAAGTGCATACTGCTCTTCCAGAGGACTCAAGTTCAGTTCCCAGTATCCATTCCCAGCAGCTCACTCACAACCACCTGTTAACAGCATCTCAGGGACACAATGTCCTCTTCTGGCCTCTATGGGTACCTGCATCCATATGCAAACACACACACACACACACACACACACACACACACACACACACACACACGTTAAAAATACCTTAAAATGTCATTAGGAAACTTACCACTGTGTTCAATGAATACATATTGTCTTAAATTAGCCAGTTGAATTTTCTTAGCTGGGACAGAGTTCCAATTTTCAGTCCACACTGAATCTTCAGCTGTCCAGGGTTGTCTTTAGCCCAGCCAGCAGCTGGAGCCACACGGTAAGTTTCTCATCTGCCCTCTGGCCAAAGCATGAGCCAAGAAGAAAAGAAGTAAACAGGGCCAGCTGCTGAGAAGGCTGGCATTTGGAGCCCAGGGACAAACTGAACTGGCTTCACATAATGGGAGAGATAGCTACTCAGTATCTGAGGGGATAACATATGCCTTGAGAGGTTGCCCCGCCCCACCCCCACATATATCTCACAGCTTTCCGGTGACGTTGGACATTTCTTCACCAGATGGCAAAATCTCAGTGAGAGGCAAAGCTTAATATACAAGTCCCTCTAGAAGAGGAACACAGGAACCCTAAATGGAATTAGTTGCCAAATCTACTGCTATATTAAGTGATATTTATTGATCCCCTACTATGTACTATGTCTACAACTTTGTTTAAATCCTCTAGCAATCCAAAGCTGAGTTATCATTGCAACCAACCTGACCATGTTGTTCAGGGGACTGTGGACATGGGTCGTTAGGATTGTGGGTGTGTTTGGGGTTTTACAATGAAGTGACATCAAGTATTCGAAGCTTCTCGGTTGTTCTGTGGGAATGTTAAAGACAATGCTAATAGTATGCACATGTCGGAGGCCTGGTTTGTGACATGTCAAAGTGAAGCAACAACTTCACTTCAGGGCCTGTGTCAGTCTTATGTCAACCTGATGCAGACTGTAATCATCTTGGAAGATGGACTCTGAGTTGAGAAAATGCTTCCAAAAGACCTGGTTGAGGGAAAGCTTAAATGGCATTTTCTTAATTAGTGGGAGGGCCCAGTCCATTGGGAGTGGTGCCTGGGTACAATAAGAAAGCAGGCTGAACAAATGAGGTGGAGCAAGCCAGTAAGCAGCATCCCTCCCTGTACTCTGCATCAGCTCCTGCCTCCAGATTTCCGCTCCAACTTAGCTCAGCAACAGAGTGTGACCTGGGAGTTATAAATGAAATTAATTTAATCCTATCCTCTCCAAGTTGTTTATGGTCATGGTGTTTTATCATAGCAATAGAAACCCTAAGACAGGGCCATTTGCACAGTATATTTGAATTTTAAAAACTGTGGTTTCTGATCAGCTGTGGCTGAACAGTGAGCTATGACTAGCAAGAGACCAGGACCACTGAATTGAACCATTGCTTTACTGAGACAATTCATACTGGTCAGATGGGGCCGAGAGACCAGCAGTTGTTGAGATGGACATCAGTGTGGAAAAACCTTCTCATAGTATTTCCTTGGGGTCAACACACAGAGCTGTAGTCCAGAGGGATCCAGGACACGTTATTTCATGCTGTCAATAAACTTGTTAACATGTAAGAGTCCCCCAGGTTGTATTGGTTTGGGTAGAATGAAAACTGCAAGATTAAAGGTGTCAAAGAGAGCAGCTGGGACAGGGTTAGAGACCCTAAAAAAAGCTCAGGAGAAGCCACCAGTAAAAGTGGAGACTTCTTTGGAGTGGAAACCCCAGGACTGGAAATCAGGGGAGCCTGATGGCATGCTGTGGCAGGGTTGTTGTACCTGAAAAGAGGACATTGGCAAAGGTGCAGCCTCAGTTTCAGGGAAGATCCCAGCATATTGGAGGTGCCAAGACTGTGATGATTACCAAGGACAGCAGCAGCTGTCACTCAGGTCAGTGAAGCTGACCTGAGTCCATGAGACAAACTGTGTGTTTCAGATGGCAGAGATGGAGAAACGAAGCAGCCTGAGTCCACTGGAACCCAGAAGATCATGAGTCTCAGATGTTGTATATTGAACTAAAGGATTTGACTTATACTGCTTTGATTTTTATTGTGATTGTCCCCTGGTTCTTCCCTCGTGGAATAAATATATTTAACTAGTTTCTGGTTTTACAGGAGCCCACAGTTTTGAGACTTCAGACGTTCAAAGAGACATTAGATTTTATTTCTTTATTTGGGGTTTTGTTTTGTTTTTCTTTTTTGGAAGGGATTGTTTTCAAGATAGAATTTTTCTGTGTAGCTCTAGCTGTACTAGAACTGGCTCTGTAGACCAGGCTAGCCTCAAACTCTAGGATCTGTCTCATCCTCCCATGTGCCAGAATTAAAGGTGTGCACTACTGCTCCTGGCTGAGACATTAGATTTTTTTAACAGAACTTGGACTCCTTTAAAGTGTTGAAATGTTTAAAGACTGGAGGACTTTAAAAAATGACACCATAAGGTTAATATGAGCTCTTGTGGATAAACAACAAAGGAAAGATAACTGTTTGATTATGATGTGCATGTGTGCCAGTTTTACAAGGGGTCTATTGCGCTGGTTAGTTTTTGTCATCTTGCTACAAGCTGGGGTCATCTGGGAAAAGGGAACCCCACCTAATAAAATGCTTTCTGAGCCCACTGTGGGCAGTGCCACCCTGTGGTCGTAGGAGGTATAAGAAAAGTAGTTGATCATGAGCCTGGCATGGGAACCAGTAAGCAGCATCGCTGCAAGGTCTCTGCTTCAGTTCCTGCCTCCAGTTTCATGCTTTGGCTTTCCAGAGTGATGGACTGTAATGAGGACATATAAGACAAACAAATTCTTTATCCCCAACTTGCTTTTGGTCTGGTCTTTATCACAGCAGTAGAAATAGAACCAAGACATAAGTGAATATTCTTTTTTTCTTCATTTTCCAGATTTTCAAAAATAAAAACAACTTGCCTAAAGTTCATACAACCATTGATCTCTAGAGTCAAGTATTAAATGCAGTGTCTAGCAGGAAACATGGGAACTTCAGTATATTCCAACCTATTGCCTATTGCTTTGTTAGGAGCAGGCATGCATAGTAGGATGGGTTGTTAGACTCCAAAGAGAGAGAGGGAGGAAGAGAGAGAGAGAGACAGAGACAGAGAGACAGA